GGGGTAGGGGTAGGGGTAGGAGTACCTTACAATGTCAGGTTCCAGCAACCAGGGGGCCCCCTGCCCCCCAAACCTTTCGACCAGCACATCCCAATACCCCGCTCCTAGCACCCAAAAACACCGCCATGTCTCCCCCCTCCCCCCACCCTCCCCCCAGCCACATCATCCCCACACCTGCAGCGCCCCTTTCCGGAGCCTCTCTACGCTGTCCAGATGCGAGTGGTAGGCGGCACTGTCCCGAATGAAGGCGATGTCTGTCCCCGGGGGGGGGGCGGAGATGTGTATATGGGGGGGAGGGGGAGAAGGGGTTGGTGGTGGAGTGGAGGTCCACACACCTCATTTTTCTGTAAACGGGATGGACAGAGAAATGTACGGCACTGTCGTATGTCGCGTACCTAAGCCCGGCAAGCTGCCAAAGTGGCGGGCTGAGAACATTCGGTAGTCGGTATCCCCGGGGATGATACCCGTGTCGAAAATGTCCTGTAGCATACATACATACATACAAAAACTCAGGTTAGGCACTACAGGTAAGGCACGGACCATTGCCCCCGGGAGATCCCGGGATCGATACCCGATAGGGTCAAAATCCTTCCGATGGTGGAGGGTAAAGTGCCGCTAGTCGATGGACGCTGGTGACCTAGGGATAAAGTGACCTTGCGAGCCGACCAGGAACGGAGTTGGGCCGCCGTCGACCCACCGTTGGATGCCGGTGGTGGGTGCGGAACCTGAGCGATCCACTGAGAAGTTGACTAGGGTAACTGGATGAGGGTGCCCCGAAATACCGGGGAAGGCAGGGTTTCGCCGGGTAGCTGCCACGGGTGAAGACATACCCCCTGTCCCACACATACATACATACATACATACATACATACACGAAATAGAAACCGCACCCCGCCTGGCCACCCGCCTGAGCAATTCTCGCCCCGTGAGCGTTCTTCGCCCCCCGGGCCCAGGACGTCACCGTCCAGGCGCCCGTGTGCTGGAACAAGATGGGAAGTCCGCCCGCGCCCATGGCCTGAGGTATGCCGGGGTGAAGGTGTGTGTGTGTGTGGCGGGGTGAGGGGGGCATCAGGGTGAAGTAGGCTAGGGGCTAAGGGGGGCATCAGGGGGAAGACGAACCCCCGGCGAGTGAAAGAACTGATGCCAGCAGATGTAGATGGACGGATGTTTTTCCGGGATTAGACAGATACGGAAGGAAGGGATGGGGGCGGAAGGGATTGCCTGATGCAACTTAATGAATCAGTGTGTATGTATGCATGTATGTATGTATGTATGCATGTATGTATGTATGTATGTATGTATGTATGTATGTATGTATGTATGTATGTATGCATGTATGTATGTATGTATGTATGTATGTATGTATGACTTAGATTACACTGTGGGCATGTATGTATGTATATGTGAAGATATGGTTTAGGGGTGTGGGGGTGTGGGGGGGGGGATGGGAGAGAGGAGGGAGACGAAAAACAGAGCAAGGATAAAACCCTGAGTCAAGATTAAAGAAGGGGATCGCGCGCAGTCAAGGACGCGAAGAAGATGCAGCTTTCGGATTTGGAAACGTGGGCGAGGGGGTGAGGTGGCGGGAGGCCGACTCTTCTCACGCACACCACACACGCACATCCTTCCTTTCGTACGCTCAGGGGCCGTACAGTGCACGGCGGATGTACGGATGTCGTACCTCCAGATTAAGAAAGGCGCCGAGGTCCCGGGCGTGTGGACTGGAGTTGAAGAAGCCGTGACCTGCCTAACCAGGGTTTTAAAAAGGGGCCCCACGCCGGGGGTAGGACGCGGAAAGGGGGAAATTAATATATCAATCATGTAATTACGCAAAAAGAATAAATTTTCATTTGTTCATTTGTTCTCCACTGCTGCGAACTTAACTACCGGATACGTGTTTTGGGCCGTTGAGGAAAAACGTGTCGTGTCATGTACTTCACGTACCTGCCTGCCAGCAGTGGTGGCCAGGAGCCGTCCTCAGCCGGTGATGTTGCTGTGCCGAAGAAGATATGTCGTACAACTACTAGTAGTACTAGTAGTAATTTTTTACTAACTTCGAACGTGAAAAGGAATTGTGTAGAACCCGATCGTCTCTAATCGGCTAACATTTGCCGCTACTACCGCCCTAAGTGAGTGCTGCATCACACAAGGTTGATGTGTGGGATGCAAAGAAGCGCCCCGGTAAAGGAAGTACACGGGCCAAAACACACACGCACACAAAAAAGAAAGAAATCGGCAGGAGCATGAGGAGGAGGCCTAAGGGCGGGGAATGTACGGCCGTGGAATGTACGGCATGGGAATGGAGAAAGAGAGGGACAGAGGGATGGAGAGGGGGAGGAAGGGCCCACCTGGCAGATACTCTCCTCGCCACCATCAAAGAGCAGTACGAGCGGTACGGCAGGCAGGGAGGATGTGGGACGAGACAATATTGCCCGGGCAACTTCCAGTACAACTGCCACCATGCTGACGTCATCCGAGGCGCCTGCGTGTCGATCGACATATGTAGGTTATTGTATATATATGTATGTATATATGTATGTATGTATGTATGTATGTATGTATGTATGTATGTATGTATGTATGTATGTATGTATGTATACGTACACATGCAGACACACGGACACACAAAACACACAAAAACAGCACTCCCTCCCTCCCTCCCTCACTCACCGGGAGATGCGACCGCGCTGTCATGGTGGGAGGCTATCAGCAGACCCCTCCTCCGGGGGGGCCCCCCCGCCCCCTCGGGCCCCGCTGTCGCCTCCTTCGACCCTTCATCCTCCGCCTTTTCCTCAGCAGTAGCAGCAGCAGTAGCAGCAGTGGGTGCTGTTGCTGCTGCTGACGCGGCGTTTGTGGGTGTTATTGTGACGACCACGTTGGTAAGTCCTCGGTAGGCGTTGGTGAAGGGCACCCCGCCAAAGTCCATGGCCACGGAGCCAGTCACAGTCTCACGATACACCTGGCGGCGGCGGCGGCGGGGGCGGCGGTGGGGACGGCGGCGGCGGCGGCGGTGGTGTTGCACAATGATGAGAGACCCAGGTCAGCCAACGATAACAACAACAAAAACAACAACGACATTACAACGACACAACAAAAACAACAACGGACTGCGTGGGTGTCCTTGGCTAGGAGAGTCTTCTGAAGGGCCGTTTCTGGCGTGGGTAGGTCTTCCCCTGCCTCGTCGTTTGAGAGTGTAATGGAACCCCCTGATTAGAGCCCCTGCCCCCGGTAGCGTTTTCTGTTTGTTCTTGTTTTGGTGTCCAAGAGGGGAGAGAGCGCGCGATTGGGCTGGCCAGGCGAAGTGCGGGCAGGTAGCCTGTTTAGGGTTCCCAGAGGTGGTGTGGCGCCTCTCGCGTCGCTCTCGCTTAGTTCGGTTCGCAGTCTTCTGGGCCGTTGTGTTGCCTAGCCAAGGACTGGGAGAGCGCCCCGGCTGGCGTGAGTGAGGGAGGTAGTGCGTGAGTTAGGCGCGCGCGGAGGAACAGACAGACAGACGGACGGACGGACGTGGAGCCCCGCGTGCAGCCGCCCCTGCGCTGCTGCTGTGTTTCGGCCCCCGGTCCGGTCCGGTCCGGGCCCCCGACGCTGCTCGCCGTCATTTCTCCTCAGGGCGAGCTTTGCCCACACCGTGTAACACCCCCCTCGTCAACATCAGCAACAACACCAACAACACAACACGGTAACACAACAACAAGCACAGCAGTATATAATGATGGCCATCACGGCCCAAGACAAACACACAGGACAAACGCAATGCCCAACCTGTTTGATATGTATATTATATTTAAAACATCTGTGCAATAACCTACACACACACACACCCGGGTGGAGTGTTGCACTCAATAAACAGCGCTTCCAAGAAGTGCTGTACGGCCGTGAGGAAGAGCTTGTGCAATTACAACAGCAGCAACATCAACATCAACAGCAGCGATAGCAGCAACAGCAGCGATAGCAGCAATAGCAACAGCGGCTTTTAACCACCGTCATGCCATACAAAAACAATTACCTTGACTTCGACATCGCCGCCCCGCGCCGCCGCCATCTCCGCCAGCAGCTCCCCTTGCCGTACAATGTAATCATGGGCCTTGCGCAGCTGTGGCATGGAAATCTGCAGTATGGTGACAGTCCGCCGCCGCCGCCGGGTTGGTGTAGCGTACCGTGTGGTACAGCGTTCGTGTCCTTGAGAGTGTGTGTGTGTGTGTGCTTGTGGTTTTTTGTGTGCGTTTATGTGTGTTTGTGTGTGTATGTGTGTGTCCAGCCGGCCATGGACAAGCATGCGCGGTGAAACTCCTCGCCCGCCTGCTCTTCCCTGCAGGGCCTCTACTCCGTAAAGCTTTCTCCTGCTTTGCACGAGGATTACGCAGCCTTCCAAAGAAGCAAAGCAAGTAACACACACACACACACACACAGAGTACCTAGCAAACCCACCTGCCGATCTGGCAGCTCCCCCGCCAGGGCCTTCACGTGCTCCATGGCGCGCTCCTCGCTGAATAGCTCCAGGGGAGATGATGCGGATCGCACGGGGGGATTCCAGTGCAGGCGCTGCTGCATCAGCGGAAGCTGGGGATTCGGTAGGGGCGTGTAGGGAGTTTCGATGAGTCAGGACATGGCGGGACAACGACTGGACAGGGGTTGGACAGGTCGACGGACATCTTTGCGCTGATGTATATTGATATCTGATGGTGACGGAGTATTGATGGCTGCTTTGCAAGGACGGTGCTCGGATTGGCCATCGGTTCCGGCGTCCGTTAAGCAGCAGCAGCTTTGACTCTACCAGCAAAGACGAGGTATTATATAAAGAGCAAGTACAGAGCTGCCCAAGCGAACATTGGTTGTCGTTATCTCATAAGAGTAAGACAAATATTGTTCGAGGCCTCCGTTACTTCTTGACGAAGGTTGCGAGACGAGCGCGGCTTGCAGCGTACCATAGCCGCGTAGTATAAAATAATTCCAAGGAAAAGTAGGCGTGCACTTGCCCACGGCACGATGGGCTGTTCATCGCGCTTCGCACACTGGGCTAGCTTAGCAGCTCCAGTCGTATCGGCGCTGATCGCCATCTCAAAGCTTTGAAAACACACTCTATAATACTCGCAAGATTAGATTAAGTTGGGAATACCTCCAGTTTTTTAAGTCCACCATTTTGAAAATCTGTCATCATCACGACACCTGCGTATTCAATTCTATTGAGAGCATGGCGACTTGAGTCTGCGTGGACTAATCGCTCACAATTTCGATCTCGATTTTATTTTCGCATTTCGCACCAAAGGCTAAACCTGATGGTCAACTGGTATACCGATTACAGGACGCGAAGTCTCCGTTGTCGGTTATACGACGGACAGTAGCTTAAGTGCTGAAGAGCTCAAGTGCTCAAAACACCCCCGGCCGCGGCATCATTCCCGCGGAATATTCCAGATATAAAAGTCATCCGTGCTTCCAGTCCCAATCAGAAGGCAAATTGGACGTGCACGGCAAGATAGCCGTGCTGTGCTGTTCTGTGTTGTGCTGCTTACTCCTCTTACGGGAAAACGGCGTATGGGACCCCCCTGATGTTTTTGGCTAAAAGCTAGCGTACAGTGATATGTCCCCGCAATGCTGCACACCGTATCTGCAACATACGATGCAACATTTACGCGATACGACACAGTACGACACCACACATTCATTTATTTCATTCATCTATCCAATGCGCATGTCAGCAAAAACTATAATCAAAGGGCATTTCCTATGTAACGATGCTCGTCTGTTCTTCCAGATGTATATATGTGTGTATGTATATATGTATGTATGCATATATGTATGTATGTATGTGGGTATGTATGTATGGATGTGCGTATGTGTCTGCACGTGGGTTAGTTAGGCGGGAGCTCTCCCGGACACGTGGCTCTGCGACGTTCCGCTCCCACCCCGGTATGTACGGCAAGGGGGTGGGGGCGATGAAACCCTCCTTATGCAGCGGTGTCCAGGGGAGGCTTCCGCTGCCGCCGCTCAGCTGCCGCGGCCGCCGCCCGGGCGACCGCGGCGCACCGCCGCCAGCAGCGCCGCCGCCTTCGCGGCGGCGGCTGTCGCCGCTGCACCCGCCGCCGCCGCGGCGCCGTACAGCATCCGCCGCGTCAGCTCCGACTGTGCTAGCTGCAGCTCCTGACCCTCCGACGCCTGGAGGGCGATGAGTGCGTTGATGACCATTCCAACTGCCAAAGACCAACCGAAGCTACTGTTCAACCGCTTAGATAACGGCCCAACCTCCGTATGGTGTACAACCAATGACCCAAACCCCTTTCTCTCTAGGTTTGCTTCCCCTTTGTCACCCCCAAAACCCTAAAACCACTTAATGCACACCCGAACACCCGGGTTCACCCGCCACACCTGTAGAGCGTACTGCATCTCGTACACCCGGCGAGCAAGGTACGGCACCACCTTGTCTGGGTGTCCAAAGGGACACAGCTTGTAGACCCTGTACGACATGTGTATTTACGGCACGCAGCAGTACAATCAGCACAATGGCAGACGTTCCAAGTAACGGCCCCGCATGCTTGTGTTCGTCTGGTGCTGTGTTTTAGGGGTCGGCCTTTCTTGGCTTGAGATAAGGTCTCCAGGCCCGGTGTTTCTACCTAACAGCCGTACACGCGGACGGACGGAATGTCGAACAGACAGACGGACAGACAGGTCGTTTATGCGGCCTACCTAACCATTATGCCATCACGATAACAAACAAAACACATCAAACATAGCTCCTCTCCGCAGGAGATAAACTTAAAAAAAAACATGCGCAGCAAGGATTATGGACGGCTCCGAAACCAATTACCGCCCCCCGGGCGCTCTCCCCCCTTCTCCTCCCCCTCTCCCGCGCTGCCTCCTCACCCCCTTTGCCCCTCCTCCCCCTCCATTAGGTTCTCACTTAAAGCCGGCAGCGCCCAAAGAAAAGCTGATATCGTCAGCGACCCCAAGCAATTGACCAAAGTACACGGGCGCCGTCGCACGCCCGAGTCCACGGCGCGCCATGCCCGCCGCCGCCGCCGACACGCTGCCGCGATGGTGGGTCCCAACCATCAACTCCGCGCGATCGGCCCGTACGGCATCTAGCAGCAGCTCCAGACAGGCCGCGAACGACGCGTGCGTCCCTTCGACAGTGTCGTACAACGCCGGCTCTGCCGCATGCAATGGGCATGCTGTTGCATTGGGCCGCGTGGTACCGACGGCGACGGCGGCGGTCGGTGATGTAGTGGTCGCGCAGACGGATGATGGGGTGGCGGCGGCGGCGGCGGCGCTGCCGCTGCCGCCGCCGTTGGCGGCGGCGGTCGGCAGTACGGCCCAGCGGCGCTCTAGGTGCATATAGGCGCCGCTGACCTACAACGATAACCAAAACGCCGTTGCGACAGTTGCAAAGATGGCAGTTATCGCGGTGGATGCCGTACAGGCTAACACTAATTGCCGTACAACCCCCTTACCCTCACCCTTATCTCACCAAATTAGCGCCTAGAGAGTACCCTTCTCTCTCCGCCCGAAACAAATCCAAAGTCAGCCGTTGTTGGATGTCTTTCAAGTACGCCTGGTACGTCAGAAATACGACAGCCTCACGCCTGTCGCCGCCGCAGCCGCCAGTTTCGTCATCGTCGTACTCCCTTCCTCCGCCTGCAGCGGCAGCTGCGATTGCGGCGGTATCAGCGGCATCGGCGGCGTCGGCGGCAGCGCCATCAACATGACCGCCGCCGCCGCCGTTGTCTTTTGCTGTGTTCGCTGTCGCACTGTTCTTGTTGTTGTACCGGCGCATTACGTCATGTGCGATGTGCTCCAGGGCGGGTCTCATGGCGCTGAGCTCCGCGTCGATAATGACCTTGACACCCTGGCGGGGCGGAGAGGAAGGAGCAGAGAGATGCATGTGATGTACATCAGATGTACGTCAGACGTACATACATACACACACCAGGATATATCGGCTGCATCCCCCTGTGACGCCACACATGATTGCAGCAATGGCAAAGCACGCACATGTGTGTATGTATGTATTTATGTATGTGTGCGTGTATATATGACGTTGGAAGGTCAGGAGTGTCACAAGTAGACCCATGGGTCAGTGGGCATTGGGTGGTGAATGGAGTGAGTGGAGTTCACGTGGTAAAAGACACACATGCACACACACACACACAAGCACACACACACACACAAGCACACACACACACACACAAGCACACACACACACACACACACACAAGCACACACACACACACACAAGCACACACACACACACACGCTCGCGCATATATGACGTTTGGCTCGGCTTCTTTGCTTTCAGGCATGGAAGCTTGGCAGCCCGCTGTATCAACAACATATACATATATAGCGGAAGCTGCATGCAGTTCCGAAAACATGTAAGAGAGTACTGAGAGTAGTTCAGCGCAAAATGTTGTACGGCAGTGACACAGCTCAATGTTGTACCTTACTGACGGCCCTCTCTATGAGCGCTTCCAAACGGTTCCGGAGCCCCTCCAGCTGCTGCTGCTGCAGGGCCGTACAGGTCCCATCCTGGGGTTCCTCCCCATTTGCAATGAATGCCGTACACGACGACGGCGTCGGTGTCACGCGGTACGGGCCGTACGGCGCCTCTTCCAGGTCCGCCGCCAGGCCCAGCAGCCGTCCCAGGTCCTGTCGACGAAGCCATCCCTCGTAGTCTGGCGGCGGCGGCGGCGGCGCCGCCGCCACCTCCGTAATACTTGCTTCGATGGCGGCGGTGACGGCACCGGCAGCAGCAGCAGCAGCAGCAGCAGCGGCAGCGGCAGGGGGAAGGCAGTCTCCAGGGCCTGCAAAGGATTGTGTCCGCAAATATGATCAAGTTATCGCAAATTGTTGCCATACACATGCATGAAACACAGGCATGAAACACATGCATGCATGCATGCATGCAGATATACAGATATACATACATACATACGTCACCCAAGCCCACCCGGTGGCGTCATGTCCCAACGCCGCAGGAGCTCGTCCATGTCGTACTCGCCATACGGTACTGTACGGCCATCACCAGCGGCGGCCACAACGCCACGCCGCTGCAGGGCCGCCAGCACGCGGTGCAGCGCAGCTGACACGTTCACCAAGAACTCCTGGTCGCCGTTGCACCCACCATCGCCGCCGCCGCCATCACCCCTCTCAGCAAAATGATCTGTCAGTGCACTAAGCTTTATAAGGGAGAACTTTTGCCCGGGTAACGACGCCGCCGTGTCAATCGCCGCCATGAAGCCTTGGAAATTCCTCCCGTACGGCACCTCGAGCCGCGATGGATCATAGTCGTACGACATAGGCGAGGCGGTGCCGGAAGCCCCGCCCCTATCCCCACTGACTATCTCCTGCTTTCCGCGGCAGTTGGCGGAGCCGACGACGGCCGATGCGACTGCCGGAGTGCAGTACAGCTGCAGCGCTGAAGTCGCGTCGTCCTCTTCCGGGAAATCTAGCATGGCCATGACGCCGTGTGCTCGGAGGCGATTCATTTGCGACCACACGTCAGACGGCATATGACCGATGCAGAAGTGGCGGAACAGCGCGTCGCGCATCCAGTTGAGCAGGGCGCCAGGTAAGACGGCGGCGGCGGCGGCGCCGCCGCCGCCGCCACCGCCGCGATCCGCCGTTTCCCTCGGTGACGGATCCTGTCGCAGAGCCGGAAACGCGCCACCACTAAAACCTGGGAATACGTCGCTGCCGCTGCCGCTGCCGCTGCCGTTCGCGACGACATCGTTGGAGGATCTTGCCGTACTGCCATGCAACAGATGGTCGACATGTCGTACAAACAGCGGTAGTGAGCAGAGGCGCAGTACTAGGAGCGTTCGTACCAGTTCATCCGTTCGCAGGTGTTCGTAGATGAGCCGATGATCCTGTGTGCATGTGTGTGTGTGCGCATGCGCGCGCGTGTGCGGGAGCGCGTTGAGTTCTTAGCGAAGGGCAGCATCGACGTTCTTTTTTTTCCGTATCCGTAGCTGCACAGCTTACGAAAGCTAGCAAATGACCTTGTCATGGAAAACAAAGAATGTGGAGACAGGTAACAGGCACTGGCCAATCCGTAAAAGAGCAAATTTGCTGAGCTCTCAAATCCAGAAGGTACACAAGCACTAACGATAACGAAGCTCGCACCTTAAATTGAAGCTGTCTTTTAGGGCAATTTTCGGAACCGGTGACTGTGTCATCGCCCCTGTTGTCGCTGGTGCTGGCGCCAGCGCTCCCAAGCGAGGAGATAGAAGCGATACCGAGGATACAGCGGCTGCTGTCGCTGCCTCTGCTGCTTGGGAACAAGGCTTGGGAACGTGGAAGCAGCAATAGCGAGCTGCGTGTAAGCCTGGCACCAGAAATGAGACGGAGTTCTGGCATGATCTGTTTAGGATGGCATACGGGACGAGTGCTGCATCCCGCGCGCACCAAAACAGAGGACATGGTATACGTGACAGATTTTAGATGTTTAATGGTATCAGTTTGAAGACTCTTAGATTTCCGCACGGATCTGCTTTAGTTCACATACAATTGTCGGCCGTGCACATGTTTCCGGCAAGCGCCCTAAGGCAACACTGCAACAAACGGTAAAAGACAGGCAAATTTTGAGTTGTAACTCAACATCCTTTATGCCTCCTCGTAGCGGAAGCGCCTCTGCAAGGGTTCAACACGGCGACGCACTGCGCTACGACAGCGGCCATCATTCAACTGCCGCCGGTGTCGTCCCGCATATAATTGAAAACATCATGGGCTACAAGCCTGGGGGATTTTAAATATCGTTATAGTTAAAACCTGAGATAACCAATATGGCTTAAAGAAGCTGCAACCCAAACGGCAATCCATTTCGCCGGGCAGCGCCTGGTGCAAATATACTATCGGTTTGTCCTCAAAAGCCAAACTCAATTGCGGTTAATCTTTATAAAACAAGGCTCTATAGCCGAAGGATTGAAGGGAAATTATAGCCGGTTTTGTAAGTAGATGTCGGTTAGTTACGTAATTTGGTTCCGAAACGGCCGTCCGAAGGGCGGTGGGACAATTATGATACGTGATGATGGATGTGCGCGTTTTGCTATGCTACAAAAGATATGATTCGGTAAGTTGGTCCCTTCCCCCGAAACCATAAAGTGCCGTTTGCCGACGCCTCCTGCTTGAGCTGCCTTGATAATAGCGCTTGTACCGATGATGGTTGCACGTTTGCGGCTGCAAGTGGTGGTTATGAAGGTGGAAAGAGTGACGGTTATGGAAGTGGGTAGGACGGCTGGTTAGGACGGCGGTGACGGTGGGGAAATTGATTGAGGGGAAGTACACACTGAACATTACTGGACGTAGGGGACGTTGAATCCTAACAGACGACCTAAACCACAGAGCAGCGCATATGGGGGAGTCGTCGGCGTGCAGGGCTATGACGGCTGGCTTAGCTTTGGCTTTGGCTTTGTGCTTCTGAATGTGCGCTCCCTTGCGGTTAATTCCGCTGTTGGAAGGGTTAAGGAAGCGCAATATGTCGGATCGCCTTGCATTATGCCTTGACTCAACTTGCACATTGCATCAAACATTGGCGGCCCAAATTGGAAAGCCAAAACCATCTACAGTAACAGCATGGTTAGGACAGTTCCAAGGAGAGTTAAACTGAAGCTGTGAGAAAGGACAGGTATAGTTAGGCAAGGGCTGTGGTCATCGAGATATCTCTCGTGATGAGGCATGACCGATCCTGCATTCCCACGCGGTTCACTTTGCTGCTGCAGCAACCCTGCGATTAGCCCCGTTGGCAGCCGCCAAGCCTGCCGCTAGTCGTTGCTGTTGGTCGTGGATTTATTCTCGATGATGGTCGGCATGAACAAAGCCACTGCTTGCGGAATTGGAAAGAACTATCGTACAGCTCCATCCTCCGAAACCAAAATGGAACTTTCGACCAAGGCCATGCGCGACATCCTAGGATTGAAGTGCCTAGTAATTCCATTATGGAGGTTTTCCTGCACCTAGATCATTATGTTTTTTATTAGGGGCAAAGAGTCAACAATCCACAGGCACTTCCGTTGGCAAGATACCTCAGGAGCCTAGTGTGAATTCAGCGTATATTGGTACATTACCGATCTAGGCCATTCTTGATAAACGGGACCTATAACAGGATGGCATCGTCGCGACAAGTTGCCATGCCCTCTCACGACAGGGCGCGTCAGGAAGCTCTTACAAATCTAGATTTGTTATTAATTATGCGGTCATACATCAAATCCATGCTTGAGGGACCCCAGGGCTACAAGGGGCTCATCCTGGACAAGGAAACGATGCGAATTTGCTCGAACCTGCATGGACGGACAGAGCTGGCGGAGCAGAACGTTGTGCACGTGGAGTACATAGAAAAGAGCGATGGGCGAAGCCACTCGGAGCTCACGGTAAGCTTGATTCAGCCAAAGCTTGCTCCGACGCTTACCGGCACGAATTTCGGAGCGCCTCAAGTTCACCAGCAGCCCGTCCTCGCTGCTGCAGGCAGTTTGCTTCTTGCGGCCGACCCGCGAAAACATCATCTTCCTTAAGCGCGAGCTCAAGTCCCCGCGTTACCAGCACTACCACCTCCGTGAGTCGGCTGCGTGCTGTATGCTGCAACCTGCAAGCTATTGCCCCCGCTCTCTGCGGGGCCCCCTTTCAGCCGTGCAGCCGAAGTGGATTCCTGTTTCGGGGCCAAACCAAAAAGACCCAGGCATGTCTGCATCAGCTACCCACCCTGTTGGGCTGTGCACCGGGGGGTGGTGATAGCTGCCCCAGAAAAGGACACCCTGCGCAACACGGTCAGGATGACCTCGCAGCCTTATTCTTTTGTTGTGAAACTTTCACGATTGTACGACATCAGCAGACCCACATCAGACGCGCGGACATGCTGGGGCCCTATCATCCATCCAACCCAAATCGTCGTGCGACCCAAATCACCTCTCCGCAATTCCCTCGCTCTTCAGCGACGACCAGTCGGGACTGCGGCTGCGAATCCCAACGCATTCTAAGAGGGGAGGGGAGAAAGAAGAGAGGGGAGGGGAGAGGGGTGGCGGGCGGTTTGGGGGAGAGGTGAGAAGTTAAAACAGGGATGGAAGGGTCGAGGGGTAAGGGGAGACTGAGGGGAAATGCGGTACCGTCCGCTTTCCTGGAGGCCCCCCCCTCACGGCGGCGACGCGGGGCAGTCCTGGGGGTCAATCCTGGGAATGGGATGTGCGAGATTGAGGGCGGTGCCATCCACGAAAAACATGACTCGGACCAACGGAACCTGTACAGGATTCGATTCCTTAAACGTTAACACGTATGGGCTCGTTACACTGCTCTGGGTAACGCAACCGCGGTGTCACACACACACACACACACAGACAAGGATGGGCTGCGCGTGTAGATGGCCGAATTTCCCTCCCTCCCCCCGCAGTGCATGTATTCGCGGTGTCCCCCTCCCTCTCGCATTGCCCCTCTTCCCCCACCGCCGTGGCAGTGCGTTTCTGATTCCCTTGCATCATACGACGCCTCCCCAAACCAAACCCTGCCGCAGCACTCTTTCCTTGGCAGCAGCTTCACTCCCCCTCTCCTGTCTGCCGCAGCACTCTTTCCTTGGCAGCAGCTTCACTCGCTCATGGTTCGTCTTTTCCCCCCTTAATCTTCACTAGACGTCGGCACTTAATTTTTGCGCCTTGATTGACTTGGCGCCTCCTCTCCTGGTTCTCCCTTCTACCACCCTCTCCACATTCGTGTAGTACTTGACTATTCCTGTGGGGGGTACCCGCACTCTCTTATCTCTGGTGTCGTCTTCATTCGTCAGTGGTAATCATCTCACCCCTCTCTCGCGCCCCTTTTCCACCCTCCCCTCCTCGCGCAGACTTCACCAACCTGCTCAACTCGGTCAGCTCCATGTTCCTGCAGGAGCTTGCGGAAGCGGACGCGGCCGGGGAGAGGGTGATGGAGGTGCAGGTGGGGGACAGAGCGGAAAGGGGGTGGGCTGCGCGCGCATGTGTGTATATATATGTGTGTATATATGTGTGTATATATATGTGTGTATATGTGCCAGGGGGGAGATAGGCGGGGTGGCTTTTGCGAAGGGGGGGTTTCGGCATCCGGTTCGGCACTGTGTATAGTTCGTCATTTTGGAACGCGTCATTCCTCCTGGGTGGGGAGGATTACCCGCCTGGGTGGGGGGGATTACGAGCTGAGGCCCCCGGGGCGTTGAATGTATGGTCGGTGTTCAAGTGGAGAGGGAGTGAGGGGGGCCCGTGTGTGTGTTTGGTGCGGCCGCCGCTGTAGCCGCCACTGTCAAAAAGCTGCTGCGATTGTGTGCCAGTGCCGCTGCTGCTGTTCATACTGCCGTCACCGAGCCGCTGTGCTATCTAGCGTTGCAACTGCGATGGCTCGTGTTGGTTGCTGTGTTGGTTTCTTTCCTCGTTTCGTTTCTTGTTTCTTTTCTTGTTTATGTATGTATGCATGCATGTATGTATGTATATCCCACAGGAGGACTATGCGGACTTCCAGGTTCCCGACCCGCACCACTTCGTGATTCCCGTGCCCCGAAATGAGCTGTTCTTCGCTGTACGGCAGCAGGGGGCGGCGCCGTCGGCGGCGGAGTACGAGCTCATCGACCGATGTGTGCAGGTAGGTTGTAGGGCCCAAAAGTCATGCTTTAAATATTAAAACAATTATTATATTTAATAATAATTATTATTATGTTTTATTACCGCATGTTGCCGCGGCCGCCGCCTCCATCTCCCACCTCCTTTGTCGTTGCCGTCACCGTCCTCCACAACCTCTCAGTCGTGTCTGTTCGTCTGTCTGTCCGTCGTCAACTCCAGGGTTTGTCGGCTGTGTTTCTGGCTCTGCGGCGGCGACCTATTATCCGCTACCAGAGGGGATCGGAGCTGGTGGCCCAGCTGGCGAAGAGCCTACATCTACTGACTTACAAACAGGTCTGTCGTACCAAAGAGCCTGCGCTTCCAAGGACCAGAGAATTATTTATATTTGCGTAAGCTGCTGGTACGGCTGCTGTTCGCTGCTGTTCGCTGCTGTTGCCGGTGTGTAGGAGGCGGCGGTGTTCGACTTTGGCGTGTCCCGCTCCGCCCCGCCCGTGGTGTTGCTGCTGGACCGGAGGGATGACCCTGTCACGCCCCTGCTTAGCCAGGTGGGGGGTGGGGGGAGGCTGAGGGGGTACGGGGGGTGGGTGGCTGAGGGGGTACGGGGGGTGGGAGGAGGCTGAGGGGGTACGGGGGGTGGGAGGAGGCTGAGGGGGTATGGGGGTGGGAGGAGGCTGAGGGGGTATGGGGGTTGGGAGGCTGGGGGGGTATGGGGGTGGGAGGCTGGGGGGGTATGGGGGGTAGGAGGCTGAGGCTTTAATGGTTCCTAGTGACCGATCACCTTCTGGAAGGGAATTATTTCTCAGTAACCACTTGGTCACCACCTAGTAACCACTTTTTAAAACACTGGTGGGAATGGGGTGGGGTAGGGTAGGGTAGGGTGGGGTGGGTTATTCGGAAGTAAGACACACGGCGCCTGGTGAGGTGCACAACAGGGTGTGCATGTCGTACAAGGGCTGCAAGTCACTGGGGGTATGGAATTGGGGGAGGGGGAAATTGGGGGGGGATTGGGGGGTTAGTTACCCTGGGGGAGTGGGAGAGGGAGTGGGCGGAGGCTGCTGGGTTTAGACAGGGCGGTCTTAGCCCGGACGTGACCGAGTGACACGATACGGTTTCTTCCTCCCTCCGTCTCTCTTTGTCTCCCTTCCTCCCTTTCTAACCCCCGTTTCCCATCTCCGCAGTACCGCGCCCTTCCCTTCCCGATTAGAGGCAGCTATTCGCCTCCCATGCAAGCCCCCCCATTGAGTTCTACTCTTCGTCGTACACACTTGCCCTGGCAACATCTTCACTCGTTCGTGGTTCGTCTTTCCCCCCATTGACCTGGACTCCGACACGGACTCTCCAGCTACTCCCCTCCCTTCCCTCCTTACGCGCCCCCTTCCTCCCACCGCGGGGGTCTGTTGTGTGTTTTCCCCCCTCGTGGTTCAGTCTCGCGCATCAGTCTTTCCTTGCCATCAGCTTCACTCACTCGTGGTTCGCTTTCCCTCGCCCCCTCCCCCCCCCTTCAACCGCCCTCGCAGTGGTCGTACCAGGCCATGGTTCATGAGCTGGTGGGTATTCAGGATAACCTGGTGAAGATGACGAGTACGAAGGTGAGGTGTGTATGTATGTACGTATGTGTGCAATCGGCCCAGAAGCCTCCCACCCTCCCAAGGCAGTAATGTACGTGTGTTTGTATGGGTGGGATGTAGATGGGGGGTTGGGGAAGTAATTACAAGAAAAGCGAAGTTTGTATGAAACGTGGCATCTGACACTGGCCAAGGACGAGCCCCTTACCAAAGAGACTGCCCGTGTGTGTATGTATGTATGTGTGGTGGTGGTGGGGGTCATGTCTTACCGGGCCTGGCGCTGAGCACGGGGGCAAACAACTACCCTGACTCCTATACGGAAAGACATCGCCTCCGTCTTCGGATGCACGCTCCGGAACCAGTCGGGGGGGTTTTGGACGGGAGCAGGGGGCGCGAGGAGGCGCTCGCTGTCTCGCCATCTTGCTCAACCTAGAAAAGCTGCACACATACATACACATGCACATGCACACTCTCTTCTCATGCGCGGCGTGTTGACGTTAGACGTTGTGTTCTCTTCCCTTCCCATTACACAACACATTAAAACCTGATCACACACACGCACATGCAGGTTCCGGAGCAGTTCCGGGAGATTGTGTTTGACGCCCGACAAGACGATTTTCTCCGCCGCCACCTCTACCGCAACTTTGGGGAGGTGCGTGTGTGTTTGCTTGTGCGTGTGTGTATGTATGTATGCATGTGCGTATGTGCTTTTGTTATTCGCATCCACGCACGCCTTTCTGAGTGTTACAAAACCCCCAGAACTCCCCCGCCCGCCCC